CCGTCGAGGCTGGTAACATTCCACCCAACGCCCTGCCCGCAGGCGAGACTGCCGAGGGTGAGCCCCTGTTCATCGGACGCGCCACCCACGACGGCACCATCACCGTCGGCAAGGTGCAGCCCTCCCACGGCTGCTGCTACATCCCCTATGGCGGCGAGGAGCTGGCCTACAAGGAGTTCGAGATCTACGTATCCAACTAAATGGAGCCTTTGGGAATCTACGAATCTCTGAGGAAACACACGCACTGAATCACAATTGTTTATCTGCGCGGCTTACAGTTCAACTGGACGCATAAATTATGGATTATATTTATTCTTGCATTTCTATTCAATATTGTTAACGCATCTCGAATCAACGTCCAAAAGTTTATAATTTTGTTCGCACAAATTGGTAAAAACAACAAACGTTTAAATGTTTAAGAAACATAATAAAACACGCCCAAAAGTAGGCACAACAAAACTTGGAATTGTCTTTGATGAAATTTCTTAATGAAAGTAAACGATGGGTAGGATATGGAGGAGAATACTGTGTCTAAGGAAAGGAATGGAATGTTTTACATCTAAAGATGATGGTCCAATGAATGAACTCATTTGCTCATCAATGAACCTAAAATTGGAACAAAAATGCACTAAAAATAGTAGCTTATTCCGTTCATTAATGGAGATTCTTATCGAAGAAATGCAAATGAGTGAAATCAATAAAACTAAATTTAGAATGCAAAATGAATTGACACATCCTTATCCTCTAATTTAATAGGGGTTGATTAAGTTCGGCCCGCTCAACAGTCCAAACAGATGGGCAAGAGAAATCAGTTTGGTATTCAGATACAGAGACGAGTGTCTCATAAATATGTTAGTCGAGTGGAGGAGCTATCAGCATGCATGCCTGTAGATAAGGATGAGGATAACGATAGGGTCTGGCCCAGAACAGTATAAATAGTGTGTGTTGAACTGTTCTACAGACATCATTATCAAAATGGGAAAACTATTGGCACTCCTCGTTGTGGGTCTCTGCCTGAGCCAGGTGATCGTTGCTGAGCGTGAGTGCCACCATAAGGTGTATCCTTTCGCCACCCCAATGATATACTTTCCCCGTCTACAGGCATCGTCAACTGCTATTGGGGAACGTGGGCCAACTACCGTACCGGCAATGGCAAGTTCGATGTCTCCAACATCGACTCTGGTCTGTGCACGCATCTGAGTTACACCTTCTTTGGCATCAAGGACGATGGCAACATTCAGTCCCTGGACACCTGGCTGGACTACGATCTGGGCTTCATTAGCCAGGCCGTTGGTCTGAAGCGTCAGAACCCCAATCTGAAGGTCCTCGCCGTTGTCGGCGGCTGGAACGAGGGATCCACCAAGTACTCCTCGATGGCCGGTGACTGGTACAAGCGCCAGAACTTCATCAACTCGGCCCTCAACCTGCTGCGCAACAATGGATTCGATGGCTTGGATCTCGACTGGGAGTACCCCAACCAGCGTGGTGGCAACTGGAACGATCGCAGCAACTTTGTGACCCTGCTGCGCGAGATCAAGGAAGCGTAAGTCCAAAAACTGTCCATCCTCTGAGAATGCCCAGCATCTGAGACGCCGAACTTTTCTCCTTTAGCTTTGCTCCCTACGGTTATGAGCTGGGAATTGCTGTCGGTGCAGGAGAGTCTCTTGCCAGCGGCTCCTACGAGATCTCCAACATCGCCCAGCATGTGAACTTCATCAACGTGATGACCTACGACTTTGCCATGGCCTCCGACGGACACACCGGCTTCAACGCTCCCCAGTGGGCCGTTGAGGATTCCATCAACTTCTGGCTCAGCCAGGGCGCTCCCGCCAACAAGCTGGTCATCGGCGTTGGCACCTACGGACACAGCTACACTCTGTCTGATGCCTCCCAGAACTGGCCCGGAGCACCGTGCCGCGGCGCTGGCAATTCCGGACCCTACACCGGCGACAACGGCTACTTGGGCTACAACGAGATCTGCTTGAACAACTGGCACACCGTCTTCGACTACAACAATGCCGCTCCCTATGCCTACAACGGTGACCAGTGGGTGAGCTTCGACAATGTGCTCAGTGTGCAGTACAAGATGGACTTTGCTCTGTCCAAGAATCTGGCTGGTGCCATGATCTGGTCCCTGGAGACCGACGACTACCGCGGGCAGTGCGGCGAGTCCTATCCCCTGCTGAAGACCATCAACAGGAAGTTGCGTTGGTAAATGCTGCAGCAACGAACGATAAACATAAATAAAGAATTATGAATTGAAATGAAGACTGCTTTTTGTCACTTTTGGTTACAAATTTGTGGAGTTAGAGAGAGGTTTTAAGGAGTTACTAACACAGGCATTCCCGAAGAACAAGGTGTAGCTGAAGGATTGCATAGGAAGGGTCAAATTGCTCTACTAATCCGAGGAACAGTTCACAGAAAGTAAGAGAATAATTAGACCAAAGCTTAAGCATTGTAGAACGCTTTTTTCTAGCCATTAAATTGCTTAAAGTTTGTTGATCTTAGTGTGCAATTCTGGACTTCGTTTCTATGTCACACATGGGACTTGGGTTTCTTGTGGCATATTTTGGGGCTACAATTTGCAATCACTCCGCTTGAGGTCCATCGAAATGTTGTATACCAGAAGTGTGCTTTGTGCTATCTTGAAGAGGATTGGCCTGTTTTGTTTTATGAAGCACCATTTCAAGATGCACTCCACTGGAGGGTGCAAAATTAATATTTATTAACATAATTTAATCTTAAATATTGTAGGCACATGCAGATATCTCGCTGTTGAGAGGTGTTTGGGCACCTGAGATATCGATGGGCACTCGAAAATAGTTGAAACTTCACTGAAAGGATGCAATATATCAGGGAAATATTTTGCTTTACCGCGATTAAGATCCCCAAGAGGTGTCTTATCTACTCACAAACAATAGATAAGAGTTGTACGGGTATCAGGGGAGTCCTATATAAGCTACAGCTGAGTACACCCAAAGCCAGAACCTCTTCAGATTCGACTCCACCATGAAGCTATACACTTTCTGGGCATTCGCAGTGCTCTGCCTCTGCCTCTGCCTCGGCCTAGGGCAAGTGGCCAGCAGCAGCGAAAGTAAGTGTGGGGGGAACTGAAATCAGGTCTGAGCTGAAACCATTATCGATCCATCTACTGTAGAGCTGGTCAACTGCTATTGGGGCACCTGGGCCAACTATCGGCCGGGCGATGGCAAGTTCACGCCCTCCGATATCGATCCCTTCCTGTGCACCCACATCAGCTACACCTTCTTCGGGATTGGTGATGGCGGCGAGTTCAAGTCGCTGGACACCTGGCTGGACATGGACGATGGACTGAGTAAGCGACTGCAGCCTTCGGTAGATCTCTCTTTATGTTTTATTTCGGGCAAACAGGCTTCATCAGTCAGACGATTGCGCTGAAGCAACGGAATCCCAAGCTGAAGATCCTGGCAGTGGTGGGTGGCTGGAACGAGGGCTCCATCAAGTACTCGGCTTTGGCTGCCGATCCAGGCAAGCGTGCCACCTTCATCTCCACCACATTGGCGTTCATCCAGCAGCACGGATTCGACGGCTTGGACCTCGACTGGGAGTATCCCGGACAGCGCGGCGGCAGCGAGGCAGATCGCGTCAACTTTGTGACACTTCTCCGAGAGATCAAGGAAACGTGAGTGTGCATCCAGAACGGGGGTTGGGTTTTCCCTTCTTAGAACTCTCTTCCACTTCAAACAGCTTCGATCGGTATGGCCTGGAGCTGGGCATTGCTGTGGGCGCATCCGAAAAGTCAGCGACCATCTCCTACGATATTCCGGCCATTTCCCAGCATCTGACCTTCATCAATGTGATGACCTACGACTTCCACATGGCTCTCGACGGCTATCTGGGCCTGAACGCACCCCTGCCGGAGGTGACCGAGTCCATTGACTACTGGCTGGCCCAAGGTGCACCCGCCGAGAAGCTGATCCTGGGCATTGGCTTCTATGGCCACAGCTACCAGATGTCTGATGCCTCACAGAACTGGCCCGGCGCCGCTTGCATTGGCCCTGGCACCGCTGGCGTTTACACACGGGAGAATGGCTTCATGGGCTACCACGAGATTTGCCTGAACAACTGGCAGACGGTGTTCGACCAGGAGAATGGTGCCCCGTACGCCTTCCAGGGCGACCAGTGGATCGGCTACGATAATCCCGAGAGCATCGAGTTGAAGATGAAGCTGGTGGAGTCGCGCAACCTGGGCGGTGCCATGATGTGGTCCATTGAGACGGACGACTTCCACGGCCTCTGTGGCGAGTCTTATCCCCTGCTGAAAACCATCAACCGTGCTCTGGGCAATGAGGTGAGCGGAGGAGGTGGTGGTGGTGGTGGCGGTGGTGGCGGCGGTGGCGGCAATGTAACGCCTGCTCCCACACCTGGTCCAACTCAGGGCGGTGGCGGAGGTGGAGCCCCAGCCGGAGATTGCTCCCACGATGGCTATTTCCTGCACAGCAGCAACTGCGCCAAATACTACCAGTGTGTCGGTGGACTGCGGTATGACTTTGAGTGCTCCCCAGGCCTCCATTTCGATGTAGTTACCACAACCTGCAATTGGCCGGCAGAGGCCAACTGTCCCTACTAAATATTAATGCACAAATAAAAACAATTGAGAGATAAATACGAATGCACAGATCTTCAAGTGGCGATTGTGAGATAAACTCAGATTTATGACTAAACAAATTCCGATTAGGTTCCACTTGCTTCTTGTAGGTTTTATTTATACACTTCGTCACTTAAGGGTATAGAGTTCGGAGATAAAGCCGCAACAAACAATGAGTCAATTTCAATATTATTGCATTACTGATAAGGTGAGGAATGTGTTTACACTCGAAACCATAAACCCCACCCACATATTGTATCACTTCCATTGAAATGGATATTGCAATTGCACATTAAAGTAATTCCAGCAAGTGGCAAAAATCGAACAAGTTTGCTTTGCTTTTGCTTCGACTTTCAATTGACAACTCAGAGCTATGGCTCATGTCAGTTTCTTTTGGAATTTCTCATACTATGCCTCGTTAGTTCCCTGAAAAATTGTAAGTTTAATTCAAGTTAATCATGTGGCCGCTCAATTGTGCCTTTGTGCTGCTGATCTTTATGATCTGCAGCTGTGCGGCGAAGGAGTGTAAGTACAGACAGAAAATGGATTGCCAGAGAGTAATGTTTAGTTTGCAGATAGAATATTCTGCCAATACGATTTGGGTTCTTTCTACTACAAGAATGCGAGTCAGTTCACTTTCATGAACATCGATGAAAGGCTCTGCTCGTATTTGATCCTCACCACTGGCGTGGGTGTGAATGGCGAGACGGGCGAATTGAAGCGAAAGCCTGACTATTTGATTGACGATGACGGTGAGCATAGAAACGGCAGTGAAGCACCTTATTGAAGCACCTCCAACATCCTCAGAATTAATGAGCACACGTCATGTATTGTACAATGGAAAACTTGACAGAATTGTGGGCACGATCGGCGGATGGGGTGCGGAGTCGAGCGAGTTCTCCAAGCTGGCAGCAAGCTCTACCAAGCGTGACCGGTTCCTAGAATCGGTGATCGACTTCATATACGAATGGGGCTTCGTTGGCGTCCAGATCGACTGGCGTTATCCCACGCAGCGTGGCGGCAGACCCCAGGATCGAAAGAACTTTATCACATTGCTAAAAGAGCTAAAAATTAGGTACACACGCTGCTGCCTCAGTCACCTGTCCAGGCACCTAATTGATCTCGTTCTTTCTCAGATTGGATGACTACGGTTTTATGCTGATGGTTGCCGTTTTGGGGCGCACTGACAGTAGCACCCTGGAGTACTACGACATTCCCAATCTGGTCAGGCATGTGCACTTCGTTAGCCTGTTGTTCCACGACAATCGGGAACCGTACCAGTCGCAACTTCGCTACAATGCCCCGCTCTCCGGCAAGCATAGCGTGGTGGAGTCCATCAAGCTCTGGAAGAAGCTGGGCAAAGCTCCAGGCAAGCTGGTCATGAGCATTCCGCTCTTCGCGCGCTCGTACATCAGGGAAAGGCGCAAGACCAGCGTTGGTTCTCGGTCAAAGGGTCCAGGTCCTATGACTCCACTGAGCAACAAGCTCGGCTTCATGACCTACAACGAATGGTGCACGCAGGCAGCCACATGGACGCAGAAATATGACGAGCAGGCGAAGGTGCCGTATGCCTACAAAGGCGACCAATGGATTAGCTACGAGAATAACCGCAGCATCCTGGCGAAGATAGAGCTGATAAAGTCCCAGAACCTGGGCGGCGTCATGCCCTGGACCATCGATTCGGATGACTTTGCTGGCAACTGCGGCAAGAAGCACAGCCTGGGGCGTGTCATATTAGAAGCGATCGATCCGAAAGCAGTCATAGTGGATCCGGTGACGACAACTACGCCAGCACCCTGCCCGAAAGATGGTCTATTTCGCGATCCGAAGGATTGTCAGCTGTACTACGGGTGTTCGCGTGGCGAGAAATTCGAATACGAGTGCCCCTTTCAAGAGTTCTTCGACGAGGCCAAATCCGCATGCAGACCCATGAAAGAGGTCAGATGCCCATCATTAGGGGCCGACTGGCTTAACGTCAGGCGAGAGTAACAAGTATCGTAATTATATTTAAATCCTCAAAATTGCAGCGTAGCAGCAAAAATAATTGATCAGTTATTAAACATATTGTATATGTGTGTAAATATAATAACTAAACTGAGTTTGCACTTTCATTTAGTTGTTTATGTGCACTGGAATTCTTTCTGATAGAGCTCTACTGATACTCCACTTACGACGGACTGCTGTACCTCTTTCTCACAATCTAAATATATGCTTGGTGCCACAAAAACCTTATTTAAATTATGAATCTGAGTAGTCGGCACTGAGAACACTCCATTTCTTGTTTAGTTAAAGTCATATTCAGCTTTTGTATACATTTTCGTTGTAACAAACATCAAGTTACCTTTTTTGTTTGGAAGCCCTCTCCAATCCAGTCCACAAATACATATTTTACTTCGAACATTTCAACTCGCCTGATCAAAAATTAACAGAAAATAAAACGAGAAAGTTACATCGTTTAAATTTCACATTTTGTTGGTTTTTTCTTGTGTCAAACAACGTAAATTGTAAGTTTCATTCATCAGAATTGTGTTCATCATGTGGCCACTCAATTGTGCGTTTGTGCTGCTGATCTTTATGATCTGCGGCTGTGCGGCTAAGGAGTGTAAGTACACGCAGGAGAGGGAAACCCGGAGAGTAAATTTTCGATTGCAGATAAAATATTCTGCCAATACGATTTGGGTTCTTATTACTACAAGAATGCGAGCAAGTTTTATTCCTGGAATGTTGATCTTAGGCTCTGCACGCATTTGGTCTATGGCACTGGCGTGGGTGTGAATGGGGAGACGGGCGTCTTGAAGATCACTGACAAATATCTGCTGCTTGAAAATGGTGAGAACGGGTCCCCGTCCCCAGACTTTAGATGTTTCCAACTAACCCTCTGGAGTTCTCAGATATGCTCAATGTCGCACACCGCCTCAAGCGAGAAAATGTGAAGAAGGTAATGTTCACGATCGGCGGCTGGCTGGAGGAGTCGAGCGACTTCTCCAGGATGGCAGCGGACTCTCGCAAGCGGGATCGATTCTTCACCTCGCTGATCGAGTTCATGTACGAGTGGCGCTTCGACGGAGTCCAGATCGACTGGCGCTATCCCACGCAGCGCGGCGGCAAGCCCGAGGATCGCAGGAACTTTATCCTATTGCTGGAGGAGCTGAAGATAGTGTAAGTGTCCAAGGCACAGCTACTACGCTACTCTCTGCTAATTGCTGTCGTTGCTCTCGTTAGTTGCCAGGAGCATCAATTTGTTCTGATGGTGGCCGTGTTGGGGCGCACTGACAGGAGGACCCTGGAGTACTACGACATTCCCAAACTGGTCAAGCATGTGCATTACATAAACCTGATGCACCACGACAATCGGGATCCGTATGAGATGCGTCTCGGCTACAACGCCCCGCTCTCTGGCGAAAACAGCGTCGTGGACTCCGTCAAGCTCTGGAAGAAGCTGGGCAAGGCGCCAGCTAAGCTGATCCTCAACATTCCGCTCTTTGTGCGCTCTTACATCATGGACAATCACCAGAACACCGTCGGTTCCCCGTGCAAGGGCCCTGGCCTCAAGACTCCGCTGACCCGCGAGCCTGGCTTCATGACCTACGGCGAGTGGTGCGGCTTCGCCAGCTCGTGGACACAGAAGTTCGATGAGCAGGCCCAGGTGCCGTATGCCTACAAGGGCGACCATTGGATTAGCTACGAGAATGCACGCAGCATCTGGGCGAAGATGCATCTGCTGAAGAGCCATAGCCTGGGTGGCGCCATGGCCTGGACCATCGATTCGGATGACTTTTACGGCAAGTGCGGGGAGACGCACAGCTTGGGGCGTGTCATACTCGCCGCACTCGGAGACATCACCATACTGGCACCCGAGCCATCGACAACAGAGTCAATGGGTCTCTGCCCGAAGAATGGATTCTTTCGCCAAATGTGGGACTGCCAGCTGTACTACGAGTGCCTCAATGGTGAGCGCATCGATTACGAGTGCCTGCCCGGCTACTACTTTGATGAAGCCCGAATCGAGTGCATGCCCAAGGAGCAGGTGAAGTGTGATCAGAACTTTGTCACCTGGCGTCCGGGCATGCCCCTCTACAACTTCGAAAACATGCCCGTAAATCTGAAGATTGTCGAGTAGCCCGAACCGCAAACAAGTGAACCAAATACAAAACGAATATTACTTAGGCGTGGGCGTGGTTAACACTTTACTGCAGCGGAGTAATTACAGCCGTCAGTTTGGGTATCGAAGCTCAGGCCAGCGGGACAGTCGAAGCTGTGGGTGATGCCTCCATTGCAGTAGTAGAACTTCGAGCAGTTTTCGGGGTCGCGCACAAAGCCAATCGGGCCATCGGCCGGACAACTGAATCCTGCTTTCTCCTCCACTTCGTTGCTCGCTTCGGTGTTGAGACCTGTGGGAGTGTCGCTGCCGAAGAGCACACGATTGATCGCGCGCAGCAGGGGGTAACGTTCCTGGCCGCAGGTGCCACGAAAATCGTCAGACTCCAGGGACCAGATCATGATGCCGCCCAGCTGGTGGTCCACTGCATACTGGGCCTTGAGCGAGAGGCTGCGCGAATTCTCATAGCCCACCCACTGACGCTGTCGGTAGGCATAGGGAACCTGCTGCTCCGTCTCCCACTTCTCGGTCCACTCCTCCTGCTGCAGCTGCTCGCAGAGCTCGTTGTAGCCAAGGACGCCCGGTTCGCGGGAATATTTGCCAGCAATGCCGCGTCCAATGTGCGCCGAGCCCGGCTCATGGCTCTCGGCTGAAGCTAGGGTAAATGTGCGCCCATAAAAGGGAACACCGAGAATCAGTTTCTCCGGCGGGGCACCTGCATTCAGCCAGTACTTGAAGATGGCATCGACATTGAGCTGCTTCTGGCGTTCGCTTTTATCGTTGGCAGAGGGATACAGGGGGGCATTGATGCCCACCACCTCATCCCAGGGCCCGTGTAGGTCGTATGCCATCACATTGATCAGGTCCAGATAGGGGACAATGGCTGGGATTTGGTACGAAAGTTCGGCCGAGAACTGAGCGGATCCGACGGCAGCACTGAGCACAAAGCTAAAGGGTTCAAGCCTAGGGTGGAACGTGGAAGGGCTCGTGTCAGACAGCAGAGAACGTGCCCCATATACCTTACCCCTCTTTGAGTTCCTTCAGCAGTGTAATATAGTTGCTACGATCCTCGTTATTCAGGCTATGACGCTGGCCCGGATACTCCCAGTCCAGGTCCAGTCCGTCGAAGCCGTGACGCTGCAGAAACCGAACCACATCATCCACAAAACGCGACCGCTTCGCGCCATCTGCGGCCACGATGGAGAACTTCTTGGAGCCCTCGTTCCACCCGCCAACGGCCGCCAGTGTTTTCAGCGTGGGATTCTTGAGCTTCAAGGCGTTGAAGCTCTTGATGTTTCCACGGCCACCGTTGTCCTCCAAGTCGAGATAGGAGTCGATGACGCGCAGCTGTCCGGTCTCCTCGATGCCCAGGAAGGCGTATATCAAGTGGGTGCACAGAAACGGATCGATATCCTCCACACCGAACTTACCAGTGCCGGGTCGGTACACTGACCAGGTCCCCTGATAGCAGACAACGTGCTCTGTTGGAATTAGGCATCGTTTGGCATCGGTAGAGAGGTTTCTTGGCGACTACTTACTTGAGGCATTTCTTTGAGCGACCGACGACGCAGCCATCAGGACTGCCCCGAGCAGCAGCACTAAAACTTTCGACATTTCTCTTTGGGGAACTTGTGCCGCATTGATCGAACTTTCCGTGGAGATCGCGACTTATATAAGATCGAGATTATTGATAAGAAGTGCACGCGACATTGTAAAATGTATTTACGCTTATTTACACTTGCAAAAAACATAATCGAAGAAGTGTTTATATACTTGCGCGCCGGACAGCAAGGCAAACACAGGTCCAACACGACTGAACACTTAGGAAAGTTGAAGGCCAAGGTCTGGTCTCCTCGAAAAAATGATAACAACTAAACGCCAGTACTGGCCCCAGCCTCTAGAACTTCTTCAGCTTGGAGAGCTGATTGTTTCGGCGCAGGGCCATCTTTCGCAAGCGTCTCCAGTATTGCTTCGTGTTGGGATCAAGCTCGTCCAGCGGTATTATCCGCTCTGTGTTGAGTGTCCACAGCCAGTCGGGGTACTCTGCATCCGGTTTGATCTAAATAAAAGAGTTTAGCAGTCGCGCACACACTCTCTATCCTGGGCACTCACCTTGACGTCCTGGCCAGTCTTTAGGTAGTTGCTGCCGCATACATAGCCCACCAGTTTGTTGGCGTCTGTTTCCACTGGAATGACCTTCTTTTCCATTATGGGTCCAAGCTTTCCCAGCTTCTTCTTTTTGGCACCTGCAAAGCATGGATAAAGTTAAAGTTTATCTGATTTACGATATCTGTGATTGAGGCTCACTCACCTGGGGCCGCCGCCGCCGGCTTCACGGCGTAACAACGTGTTGATGTTGCCAGTGCAGGAGCAAACACTCGCTGTCTTAGCATAGCTAATGCCACAGTCAAGCTACCCATAATTGTGTATTCCTATTTTAGCTTCAATTTAATTAACAAATAACCATTTAATTGCGGAAACTTCTGTTTTGTTGTATAATCTGATGCAGCAACACTCCAGCCCTGGTAATTCAACATGTGGTCACACTGCTCCCTAGCGATGGTCTATTGAAAAACTCTCACGAGAAATATCGGTAAACAAACTTTGGTGAAAACTTTAAGTTTGATTTTACTTACATCCAAGTCGAAACATTTAGACATTTGCAAAATGGGAAAATAAAGGGGCAGTTTGTAAATATTTGCAGTCATCCTTTAACCCTCTTAGCAGATATCACATAATAAATGATCAAACTTCTATACTATCGGATCGACCCATTCCCACCTCTATGTCGGCGCCGGTTATAACAAATTACACAAGTGCAAAAAAAAATAATATAAACCAAAAATGGGATTTCGAATGCCCTCTAACCGAACACTGGGAAACATATGCGTTTACGGCGCGGTTGCTTCCATTTCAGCGGTCATGTACATGCGCTGGAAGTTGGAGGACCGCGTAAAATCCTGCGATTACTACAAACTGGCCATCAGTGCCCTGCGGCACCACAAGGGAGCTGTAAAGCTGCTGGGCGAACCTATCAGAGAGTCTGGCATTGATCTTTCCAACGCAAATAACAACTGCAATGCGGAGAAGGCGCAATTGGAGGTCTCAGTGCATGGCAGCAAGGACAAAGGTAAGCTCACGGCAAGGAAAATTGTCTTTACTGAGACTTGAAACATTTCTCTGCAGGAACCCTGTACTTCTGGGCGTCCAATATACCAGACAAAGGCTGGCTGATTGACCGACTAGAACTGGAAACGAAGAGTAATCCAGATAAGCGTTTTCTGCTCAAGAAATCCGAGGATGAGACGACTCAGCAGGAGAACTCACCGAAGAGGATCTATGAACAGGCGCTTAACGAACACCCACAATAGCCAGATGAGTTATAGAAATGTAGTAACAATTTTCGATTTAGTTAGTTTTATTCTCATTAAATTTGACTAATTCAAGCAATCTTAATTGTTTCATATTTAAGGTATTTTAATTACACATTTATTGTTGTTGTTTTATAAAATCAAAGTCTTTTGTCAATGAAAAGCTGGCTAAAATGTCATTACTTAGCTTCCTATGCTCACAAATGTTCATCTTGTGGGTAAGGTAATTGGGGGCGAAGCATTTGAGTTGAGAAAACTGTGGCGGAAACAGGAGGAGCTCTCTAAAACTAGTAGAAACACATTAAATCGGAGTCGCAGTTTCAAGTGTTTTGTCCAAATCAAACATTCTTACAGTTGGACGGGACGGGATGGATGTGCCCACAGCACAAGCTGATCTGCTCGTAAATACATATAGTGCACTGATCTTGTGTCTGTTTAAAATTAGAATAATACAATACATAAGTCAGAATGCTCGTACATGATAAAAACCGCGTTTAATGCTCAATCTTAAACGATAAAGGCGACATTTGGTGGCGAGTGTGACTGGGGGGCAACAGCGCATCATTCATTGTCCAAATGCATTCAATTGAATCATATCTGATCATAATTAAATGTAGCTTTGCATGTGCAGGGCAGTGCATTCATCGTTAGTTATAGTATATAACACATTGTAAATACACGTTGTATATATGTTTGCATATGTATGTATGTATGTATGTTTATAGGCAAATTACAGACATTTAGTTTAAACTTGTATTCGTGATCCTGTTCCTTCTGTGTAATTTTGAATGCTGCTGTTTCAGTTACATATCTCGCTTGGCCATTGCAAGTGGAAGACTGTTGGGCCGCTTTGTCGACTGCTGTGTCCCCTCCGGTTCCGCTTCCGCTTGCAGCTCCTGGTCTTATTGCGTTTTTAGCTCCTTGCCAATGCTGTAAGAGACGATTTTGCTCCAGTCGATCTTGGTCCTAGTTATGGGCAGCTGGCGGCGCATTGCCTTGAAAGTCGTGTCCGACATCGTTTGATAATTCTCCGAAATGGCCAACTGGTACTCGTTCTCGGCCTCCTCGATGAGCCGCATCACCTCCTTGGCCATCTGCTGCTCGTTGGAGATCACAACACTCTCCCGGCACTCCTTGGAGGACACCAGCTGCACGTTGCCGTCCTCGTAGTAGTGCACCTGCACCTTCAACACGCCCTTCAGCTCGGCCAATCCACTGCCCGCCTGGAAGGTGACGTGCCACTGCGAACGCCACCGGCCGTTCCAGTAGTTCTTCGGCTGGAACTGGTGGTCCTCAATGCAAATGGTTAACGTAATCTGGTTGCCCTGCGACTTTCCAAAAACGGAGCTGACCTGCAAAACGAAAATCTCAAAGTTATTGTGCGATTTCCCAAAGGAATTCAATAGCTTACCCCGTGCCTATAGTGACTGGCAGTGTATGCAAGCGTCTCCAGATCCAGGGCAGCCCTCCAGGGCTCCGAATTGGCATCTGCATCGACATCCTGATAGTCGGACGCCTCTTTTCGTAGGTGGTCGTATTTGAAGGCCTTATTTGTGCGTGGATCATAGAAGCGACCGTTGCCTGAAAGATTATTTTCGTTGCCTTATCAGTAGGGAAAGCCTCTGTCGTTTGGTATTTATACATCAACAAAGACGAACACCAAAAGATATCAAACAAAAGTTGAAATTTTTGCGGTTCGTGACTCACAATTAAATGTCATCAGTGCAGGCGAGGGGGATCGCTGCTGCATGCCCATATATGGACGGAATAACGTATTACCCGATACTAACCCAAATCGTTAAACTCCGATATGATGGCGCTGTGGTTGCTGTTCTCGATGCGCACCGGTGTCAGCTGGTCCTTGTTGTACTGTGAGAAGGCGTGGCTGGCACCGTCCTTCAGCAGAGCGTCGTTCTTTAGGAGCTCGCGCACATCGTTGAACACTTCGTTGAACTCGCCGGGCGGAGCGTGCAGAATGAAGTCGGACACGATGCGCACCTTTTCTGCATCTGTAATCTGTGTTTGTTCCATAATTCCGTTGGTGATTCACAAAATCGGGGCAGGGGCAGTTGTTTGGTTTTCTGAGTTCTTTGTCAGCCCTCCTCGTTGCTCTTGCTATTGTTTCAGTGGTCGGCGCTGCTGGGCTGCTTTTAATGGTATTGCAGATGTGACAACTGTTTTCTTTTAATGTTTTCTATGATAAATAACATACAAAAACACTGTGAGATCTTTTTTTCTCAAAATAGGACAACGATGACGATTCAGCAGCAGTGTGACCGCGGACCGCGATAAAATTTACCGCAAGGCACTCAAAATATACCAAAATATACCTTCACAAAGTAAAAAATACCGTAGATATACAGTAAATTGTAAATCTTTTTCCTCGATTTTGATATTCTGATTAATATAACCGGCTAGTTATGACTCTCAGCACTAAACCAATAATTGTATTCGATTCATCAATAAATTCTCCATAAGCTTCTTTAGTTTTCATGACATCTTTTTATTGGATTGCTTACAAAAATAAATTCGAGCTAAGAAGGAAAATGCAAAATAAATAGGCATAAAACGTAAGAATGTTACGTTTTTGACAGCTTATTGCTTGTAAACCTGTAATGGCCTTTGTACACCCTATTGCTCTTGATTAATGTTAAAATTCCTATTTCGAATGACATGCCTTAACCCTTTCATTAGTTTGCTTGTAAAGTCTAGTCTCGTCACAATTTAAAGAGCGGATGAAGGTAACTTTAGAAGCTGAACGTTCTTGATTTTCCGAATAGATCAATTGTTTCATTCGAAAATTAATGCCCTTAGTGTTCAAAATATTTTTCAACCATTATTTATAATAACATGGTAATCAGCATAGCCTATTTTTAAAACAAGAGGATATTAACGCCTAATCGTGTAATTCTAAAACCGGTATTCATTCCTTCGGTATATTATCGAGGGTCTGACGGTATATTCCAACTCATAATTGCGTATTACAAGAAGTTAACACAATCCCGAAAAACCAAAAAAAAATAAGGTCAAAAGGTACACAATCCAATAAAGAGGAGTATTTATAATAGACCAAATTGATTTTTAATCGGATTTAATTATTGTTTCAGTGTTAAATCTCCTTTCAAGCTAGTAATATCAAATAGAACATCAAAATCGAGAGATGTGAGTTAAGATTGTGGTATATTTACGGTACATTTTTAAAATGAGAGATATATTTTGGTATATTTTCCAGGGTCAGGCGGTATATTAGGCCGAGGCCTCCGAGGTCACACCGATATTTTCTGTCCAAAATTTGAACTGCGCGGTTGGTGCGACGCGTCGATCGTGAAATAAATAAAAAACAATCGTAACGTACGAAGCTTTTATCGGCTTGATTCGGGAATGAAACGAACAAAACAAATCGAAAACTATATTTTACGGTTAATTTACTAGTAAATTCGGTGTAAGTGTGCAACAAATACGAAAACATACGCCAACAGTGCCTTGAAACAAGATTGAGTTGGTAACAAATGCCAATGAAAAAAGACTGAAACCACTACACACTCACACAAATAACCGCGCGCGCGCTTGTCTACAAGTGTGTGTGGTAACCACTTTTTTTTCTACCTGGTCTTACCTGTTTTGCGGTCTGTGAGAGAGTTCGGTTGCCGAAGAAGGGAGCGCAAAAGAGAGTGTGTAAAAGATAAAAGTGAAGAAAATAACAGAAAAAGCAACAGCTAAATCGGAAAATACTTGGAAAAATAATAAAAGCGCGCACTGTACGTGTTCCGTTGAGTTTTGTTCAATTTGTTCGATATTGATAATTACACGGCTGCTGTCCGTTGCCATGAAAATGCAGTCTAAACAAACGGTGGAGCGTCGACGTCAGCGTTAGTTCGCACTCACACACTTACACACACACATGCTCCAAGCTCACATGCACCCATGCATTGAGAGATAGAAGCAAACAAAAGTGGAAATAGAAATACAAACAGAGCAGAGCAGAGAGAACGTAAAAGTAAAAGGTGTGCGGTGAAGTAGTGGTAGTGATCGCAGTGTGTGTACGTGGTGAACCCGTGTGTGTGTGCCAGTGTGAATAAATACTGGGGTGATTCACAAAAGAAGTGCTCAAAAAGTTGAGATATGGCGGATGTCTGCTAAATGAAATTCCACAAGTGTTCAGCCATTGTCGTCCAGCAACTGCAATAAAATGTCGGTCAGCAATCACCTCAATACAAATCCGAACTCGAATCCAGCCCAGCAGCAGACACACCAGCAGCACAAACGAAAATGTCGGGATCAGAGGCACACCCACAAGCACAACCACAGTTACAGGAGCAGGCTGCTCCTGGCCGTGGCCGTGGCAATCAGCATCATCTCACCCGCCCTCTCAGCCCAGACGCTGCCGGATAACAACAACTACACCGGCGACAATCGCAAGCCCGCCTTCAAGAACTGTGCGGGCTATGCGCCCTCCGTGAAGGAGGAGCAACCAGAGAACACCTATGTGTTCATGGTGCAGGCCACGGATCCGGATCCCAACCAGGAGATACGCTACAGCCTCGTCCAGTCGCGCTCGGAACGACCCAAGTTCTTCATAAACCCCACCACGGGCGTCATTGTCACTGGCCACACCTTCGATCGCGATGAGCCCATCCACGAGAAGTTCGTGTTTGTCACCGTCCAAGCGACGGACAACGGACTGCCGCCGCTCGACGATGTTTGCACCTTTAACGTGACCATCGAAGACATCAACGACAATCCACCGGTGTTCAACAAGGCGCGCTACGACGAGTCCATGTCGGAAAATGCACAGGTAGGTGCCGTCAAACATTCGAACTGTCTCGCACAGCGGAGGGCCAAGTACGCGGACCCTGGATTACTGCCGCTTGGTCTCTTCCTCTTTCTGTGCGACGGTCCACGAGTGACATCACGCCCACGCATTGCCCCCGCACCCGCCCTCCTATTAATGATGTCATGAGCATATTTGAGCAACAATTTAATTGGCTTAATGGCAATTTATGGGTCATTGCCATTGTCGCCTATTCGCCGCCCACCTGCCCCCTCACACACATACACACACACACACACATCGCCCAGTGGCTCTCCCGACTTCCAGCGATAATTAACAGCTTTGCGCTCTTTGGGCGAACACATCTTCTTGGGCGGAACAAGTTTTTCCTGGCCACAAACAGCGTAGGAGGCTCTCAGACAAGTTTGTTGAGTTCATTGCTCGGCCCGGCTCGATGCAGAGGAACCTTGAAACCCTTTCACAACGCCCAAAGCCGCATTTTCTTTCTGTTTTTGCGCGACAGAAAAACTTGTCGCCAGGCAATGGAAGAGCTTAGTGGAAACGAGAGAATAACCATATGTACAGTTGGTCAAGAAAGTATTTAGATGAAACAAAACAAACAAAAAGAAACCCATTAAAATTCCCCCTTTTAGTGTGGATTCTATTGTGGATTCTATTCCGAACAGATGTTCCCCAAGGAGCATTAATGGGAATCACAAATATACAAATATATTTATTATTCCTGGAAATTATCTCGTTCTTATTTCCGCCAGCGCAGCGATGCCATAGAAATCTCAAGGGGAGAATTCCCATTTCCCATAAATTTTATTTTTAGAAAAGCTCACGGAAAGCCTTAGATTTTTCCGCGTAAAGGTTTCAGTTTCGGTTGCACTTTTGTTCAGGCAGGAAGCAGTAGATTCTCGTAAAGGAAAGCAAAAGGATGTGTTTGTTCCTGATTTGGGCAAACTTGCAGGAAAGTTCCAAAGTTCAAAGTGCCGTGTGTGTGACCCTCCCCCCGAAACATCTTTTGATATTGTTTGAGGCCTTATTCCCCATGTCTTTTACTTGCAGCCCGACGCGGTGGTCATGTCGATCAGTGCCAGCGACTTTGATGACCGCAACAACAGCATCATCGAGTACGAGATACTGCGGGAGCGTGACTTTCAGTACTTTAAGATCGACAAGGAGTCGGGGATCATCTATTTGAATCGACCGATTGACAAGCGACCCGGACAGTCGTACACGATCAATGTGCGGGCCTACAACATAGTGCCAGATCCGCCACAGGATGCCCAGATCGAGGTGCGGATACGCATTGTCGAGTCCTCGATCAAGCCGCCCACCTTTGTGGACCCCATCGATGTGCCCATCTATCTGAAGGAGGATCTCAAGAACTTCTCGCAGCTGATTGCCACTCTGACGGCAGTCTCCAACATGCCGGACAAGCCGGAGGTTATTTTCGAGCTGATCACCGGCCGCACGGAGCAGACGAACGGCAAGAACACGTTCGTCTTCAATCAGATTGGCAACGAGGTGACCATCAGCCTGGGCAAGCACCTCGACTACGAGGCCATCACGGACTACACCCTGACGATGAGTGTGCGCAACACCTTCGAGCTGGGGGCCGAGCACCAGATCAAGATCAAGGTCGAGGATGTCAACGACAATATTCCGTACTTCACCGAGGTCAAGTCGGGCACCATTCTGGAGAACGAGCCGCCGGGCACGCCCGTGATGCAGGTGCGCGCCTTCGACATGGATGGCACGGCGGCCAACAACATTGTGTCCTTCGAGCTGGCGGACAATCGTGAGTTCTTCGCCATCGATCGGCACACGGGCAACATCACGGCCCTGACGACATTCGATCGCGAGGAGCGCGACTTCTACAACGTGAAGGTGATCGCCAGCGACAACTCCCCGTCGAGCCTGTTCGACAACGGAGAGCCCAACCGGGGACATCAGGTGTTCCGCATCTCCATTGGCGACAAGAACGACCACAAGCCGCACTTCCAGCAGAGCAAGTATCTGGCGGACAAGCTGCTCGAGGATGCCAACACGAACTACGAGGTGATTGAGGTGATGGCCGAGGACGAGGACAACGCCTCGCAGATCCACTACAGCATCGAGAGCGGCAATGTGGGCGACGCCTTCAAGATTGGCCAGAAGACGGGCAAGATCACGGTGAACCAGCGCCTGGACTACGAATCGATCACCGAGTACGAGCTGAAGGTGCGCGCCTTTGATGGCATCTACGACGACTATGCCACGGTGGTGATCAAAATCGAGGATGTGAACGACAATCCGCCGGTGTTCAAGCAGGACTACAGCATCACCATTCTGGAGGAGCGAGCCTTTGACAACTGCATCCTGACAATCGAAGCGTACGATCCGGACATCAAGGATCGCACAGCTGACCAGCACATTGTCTACTCGATTGTGAAGGACGACTACAAGAAGCTGCTGACCATCGACAACAGTGGCTGCCTGCGGCTCAT